TATGCCTGTCTCTTATACACATCTAGATGTGTATAAGAGACAGCGCTTACAAAGATGAAAATTAGCATAGTGTATTAATGTTGATAACAAAATTATTTTATCTGGTACCAATCTAAGCTCTTCTTTCCTTAGATGTTAGATGTGCTTGCAAAGAGAGCCACATTTCACACTGAAGGGTGTGTACGACATCAGTTATGTTATATCAATTCCAAGAATGTTTAAGGTTGTATCGGTTGATGAGGAATTTATTGATTAGGCCTATAACAGCAAATTGCATCAATTTATTTTGCAAAAACAAGGTTTCCAGCTTCAGAGGGGGGCACATCTCCTGTCCGCACAAGGGCACATATTGGCGCTAACACCAGGCGCGTAACAGGGGTCTTGGGTCAGAGTGGGTATATTTTTTTTTTATTTTTTATTTCAACCATCTTTAAATAGGGTAACCCTTCTACAACGACAATAATAATAATAATAATAATAATAATAATAATAATAATAAAAATAATAAATAATAACAACAACAACAACAACAACAACATACAATCCTCATTTCCCGGTTAGTAATTTACCATACCCACCCCACCCCACTCCCCATATAGAAAACAATACGACATAGGGCTTATCTTATTTATAATATAGGCCACACACGTGTGTTTGAAACTAAATATAAGCATTTTCATCATGGTTGTATTTATTACAAACACATTCTTTCACCATCTATACACATTGAGGCCCTTCTTTTAGGTTAAAATGATCTATCTTAAATTTGTCTTTCTTGAGTTTGGGACTATTATAATGTGTTTAAATAACTTAAAAGGGTAAAACTAAAAAAAGCCCTAAAAAATGCGCGCCAAGCGCGCAAAATATTTTTGTGTTTTTAATTCTAATTTCGTCAGAATTGATGAAAACTATCTAAAATGTGCAATTTATAGAGGAAATTGGCCACCGTAACAAAAAATGCATCCTACCGTAACAAGAAATGCGCGCAAAGAATTTGAGAATTTTAGGCACTTTCTGAGGATGCATTTGTCAAGGAGTGGAGAAAGATTTTCAAAGATGGATATTTTCCCCTTGTTCCCCGGTGTTTTGAATTCTAATTTCGTTGGAATTGATCAAAACTCCCTAAAATGTGCAATTTTTTAGAGGAAATTGGGCCATGTTAACAAGAAATGCGCGCGAAATTTGAGGTTTTTAGGCACTTTCAGGGGATGAAAGGGCATTTATAAAGGGGGGGTGGGGGGAAGATTTTTCAAAGATAGATATTTTCTCCTTGTCCCCCAGTGGTTACGCCATCGGGCAGCATAGATCAAAGGAGTTATGACAGTTTTTGAAGTAGAGAAGGGGTTGCATGGGTGTTGTGAGTCTGGTCATTATGATAGCTTCCTTTTTATTCTTGTCTTTATTTTTCTCTTCTCTTTTTCTTTCCTTTTCTTTTCCTCTTTTTTCTCTTTCCCTCCCTCTCCCCTCGTTCTTTTCTCTTATTACCCATTCCGGTACGATGACTCGGTCGGCCCGGTAAAAACCGTCAGGGGAGGGGCAGTTTTCCCTC